CAGGCGCTAGGAATGGACAGATAGGTGGGGGCAAACCTCTTAACTAGAGTGAGAAATGCTTTTGAATCCCTTCAGAAAGTGAATGAATGCTCGTAACAACTTGCTTCGTAACAGCTATTTCTCGTTCTGATCGGAATCCTACTGCTACATGTTTAGATAATCTTTACATATTGGACAGAGAATCTTTATGTATTGGACATTGCAGAAATTATTTTGTGACATTCATGTTTTTGTTCATTTACAAAACAAAATCTGCGGTTATGTGGTGAGGCGGCGGCGCCCACAAAATCGCGTCCGTCCCACGCGACCGAAAAGTGGAAAAGGGGCGTCGTCGTGAATGTGTTAATACAGTCACGACGCGCCATTTTTCCATTTTTCGGTCGCGTGGGACGGACGCGATTTTGTGGGCGCCGCCGCCTCACCCATCACCGCAGATTTTGTTTTGTAAATGAACAAAAACATGAATGTCACAAAATAATTTCTGCAATGTTCAATGCGTAAAGATTATCTAAACATATAATAGTAGGATTTCGATCAAAACGACGATAGTGGAAACGAAAAGCAACATTCATTCACTTTCCCTGCAGTGCAAGTTAAAAGCATTTTTATCTCGATTCTTTAAAATTAACCACTTGTCTTTCCATTCATATCGCTTCGCCTTTTCTTCTAGCACCTTTTCATGCACACCTTTATGGCAATAGGAAGAAAAAGAGGAATTAATCAGGCCAAAAAATTCATACGGTTCCAGAAAAACTCTCCCAAAATAAAGCATATGTTATCTTCCGATGGACCCTGCCGTTTTTGGTTAAGTACTAATTCTATTTCCTTCCTTAATATCAGAAATATGCAAAAAATAACGTTGCATGCGACTGGCAGGTGATTATTAGCTGGCAGTCCATGTAGGCTACCATCTCTCACGAGTCTACTTATTTGACAGGTCATACGGGCGGGCTGCTGTGGGCATGAATGTGTTAGAAAAGAATTTGGGGTACAATGTGTACACTTGCTGTAGCCTTCATACCTCTTGTTTTAGCATGACCACCCTTTATCGTCACTTTCCCATCCGTCGCGATTCAATCTACCATCCGAACACGGTTGCAGGCCCGTGCACGTTCCCCGTGCCGTACACCAAAGAATTCGACATTTTTTGCCAACTCGACTATCACAAGGTCTATTACTGCACAGGTTTTTTTTATTGGATAACAGGAATTTTTGAGGGTTTGTTTTGCCTAGTTTTCTAAGTTCTAGTTGCTTGTTGACTACATATATTTCATTCTTTTGGCCGTACGTTTTTTTTTTCGCGGTGACGTCGACTTCCCTTCACTTAAATTGCGGTCTACTACATATATCTAGTTTCTAATCAATTCAGTCTAATTGCAGTTCTAGAAATGGGTGGTTTTTGGTTTTTAAGAAGTCACAGGATACCAGGTTAGCTTGTAGGCAGCGAAAACGTATATGTAGGTTCTAGAGGGATCTAGAGGGACGTGTGGGTGATGGGTGCTCAATGGTACGCCAGTGGCAAAAAAAAACAGAGAAACCCTTAAAAAAACGCAAAAGAGAACCACTTGTCCGGCCGTTCATGCTCGCCCAAACATAGACAGGGAACGGCCCGGACAGTGGACCAATGAATGGATTTACCGCAACGCTTTTTAAGGCAGCTCCAGTTGTGTTGCTCCAGTTAAGCGCTGCTGGCAGCACAGCTCGTCTAAATCTCCGAGCAAACTACATAGTGAACCTAATGACTTGGGGGCGAAGCAGCTTTCGAGTACTGCTGAGCAAACAGCGCACCATTCGTCGTGAAAGCACGACACCTGGCTTCCTTGGTCCAAACTACTGCTTCGTGTGGCACATATACAGTGGCGGTCAAATTCGGAAACTTTTATTATTCCATTTTTCGATATGCGCAGTCAATAAATAACAAAATTGCCTCAAACTCACTTTTAATATACAAAATCAGGTTTAGAATTCTATGGGCGTTGTGGTTTCCCGTTATCGAAAATCGGCAATTGAGAATCGCATTTTTTAACTAATGGCTTGTCAAAAGTTTGGAAACGCAATGTGGGTCGAGGGGCGCAGTGCACGACGCGCCGCATGTTCGCGTAGCTCATTGCGGAGGGGAATCCGTGAGCCAGGGGGAGTGCAGCCATTGGTGATGTCGTGAGGGCAACCATTCGAAAAGTTGAAAGTTCGAGTCTTCATCATTATATCGCAAACATGCACTGCGCCGCGGCGGCGGCTGCCCCCTCCAAGCCACATTGACCTGGAACTTTTTGTTTCCGTCATCAAAATAACTCATCCTCTTCAATGTTTGCATATTTCTGTTAATTCTATTTTGATCATTAAGCATTATGTAAGTTTATAATAAATTCATGTGAAAATTACCTCCATAGCAGGGTGAATATCGGTCGAGGAAATCCTCGACAGGAGGGGTCGTATTTGTCAGAGTGGGTCATGTGGGGTCGTACTCATTGGGGTCAGTAACATCAGATAGGAGAGAGAGGGTGTAGGAGAGAGAGGGTGAGAGAAAATAAGGATATGTGAGAAAACATGAGATAAAATATTCTTTGCAGGTCCAGTCGCTCCATTCCTTTACCTTTATGAGAAGGACGTATTTGAAAGCAGTACAAGGAATGAAAGTGCATCTCCGCAATGTGTACACTGGAGGCACCTCCTTTATCTAGGCCCGCTCTCTCGCCCTTAATACCTCGTTGAAAATGAGGCAGTTGTTAGGGAGCTGTCGCAAACGGCAAGAGTTCTGGAAAGACCTGGGCAAATGAAGCTGTTCCTTAGGTTACAGGAGTTACGAAATGTGTTTACTACAATACAGTTTCTGTCAACAGGTCATCATCATATGTATAACACCTTTCAATAGATTCTACAACTTGAGTGGAGGTCGGATGCATGGCCTATACTGACGAGGAATGCTCAATTGGTCGGTCCGGCCATTTGTAATGAGGTGTAGTCCGCTGTACTCGTCTTGCGACGCTGAGCTCAAATCCGTTTTCGGTATCTGCGGAACGATTCTCTGAAAGAAGTTACGAGGGATTCTTCTCACTGTGGCTTTCTCACTATGGCGCCCTCTACATCCTCGCATCCCGCTTGCCTCGCTCAAGTTGAGCCGGTGAGGAGTTCTGTGTGGGCCTGGTGGTGTAGTGGATAGCACGTTTGCTTCATATTGGTGAGGTCAGATGTTCAAATCCTTGCGCATGGCAAACTTTTGCATTTTTTCAGGGCTCCTCATACGAACCCAAAATGTGTTTATATTTGGATATTTTGTTGATTTGCTTCTCCCTTTTACATCTGTTTTGTTTTGATCATTTTGTGAGGGACTATCATATTTGCTCGTATAGCTGGAATAACTTTTCGAAATATTGTTAATTTAAGAGTCTTCTGTGTGTCAAAGTTCATCTTAACGAAGAACTGAAAAAAATGAGCACGAGAAGGAGATTCCAGAGTCTGCCCTCTCCAGATGTAAAAGGGGGACGCAAATCGACAAAATATCCAAATATAAACACATTTTGGGTTCGTATGAGGAGCCCTGAAAAAATGCAAAAGTTGCCATGCGCAAGGATTTGAACATCTGACCTCACCAATATGAAGCAAACGTGCTATCCACTACACCACCAGGCCCACAAACAGAAGCTCCTCACCGGCTCAACTTGAGCGAGGCAAGCGGGATGCGAGGATGTAGAGGGCGCCATAGTGAGAAAGCCACAGTGAGAAGAATCCCTCGTAACTTCTTTCAGAGAATCGTTCCGCAGATACCGAAAACGGATTTGAGCTCAGCGTCGCAAGACGAGTACAGCGGACTACACCTCATTACAAATGGCCGGACTGACCAATTGAGCATTCCGACGAGATCGGACGACGACGATTGCCAGTTCCTTGTCGCTTACGTTGGAGAGAATTTATTCTAGACACATTTCGAGCGTTGCCAACGAATTACACTTGCAATGGTGAAGAAGGGAGCGGCTTTTGAGCGGCCGAGAATCATCCTCGATAGATCCTCGACGCAAATATCTCCTCAACTAAAAATGTAGAAGGAAGCTAAACATACTGTTAGAAAGCGCAAACCTTCCGCTTTCCAAAACTGTCTTCCCTTTCCAAGGATCTTGCGAAATTAGAGAGATATTGCCTTTTAAGTGGCAAAAACTCGCATGAAAAATTCAGCATCCTCGACGCTCCCTCGACAAAATTTGAGAGACCCTATCTCTTCGAGTGTAAAGCTTTTAGATCAATTTCAATATTGCCCGGTAGTAGCAAATCCAGCTCTATCTAACCCTACCACATACTGCTCCAAAGGTTATGAAATGGGGGAATGGAACCTTTTCATCGAGAGTGTAGATTTCGACGGTTTCGAGCGGGGTTTCGGCAAATCTGACCCACGGATAAACCGCGCTGCAACTGAATGCTTTGCTGTACATTGATGGAACTCGCTTATTCACATCAAATCAAAGTTAGAGGGGTCGTATCAAGACCCCGATCTGAGGGGGGGTCGTACTGATCTGACCACGTCCTCGACACGATTTTCACCCTGCTCCATAGAAGAGCTTTTTCTCAAATCCAGCGTCCGTAATGCGAAGGTAAAGGTTGTTTTTCTCGAAGCAAAAATTTTCTCAAAAGTTTTTAGTGTTATCGAAGTCGAGTAAGCATAAAAGAGAAACTCTCAGCAGAAAAACTCCTCACAGGAGAACTGGCCTTTATTAGGGGCTTCCAAGGTGGTTGGCACATCCCGTATTCACTTTGACTGGAATAAAAACCCGAAATAGTCGTCAACCAAGTAACGACTTTTTCGGGTTTCCTTTCCAGTTAAATGAAACTCTAACTGCAGCCAAACATCGGCTTGGACCTGGTGAATATGACGGTGTACCAACAAGAAGCGAGTATTGCGTTGTATGAGCAGTAAGACCCAACTGGCTTCCGCACATTAATGTGGGCCGAAGGCGAGTTAGAGAGTTCTTCAGCGACGAGTTGTGAGCTCTGCAAAGTGTTCTGGGTGTGTGCATTTAGTTGGAACCTAGTACGGTAGCGTAATTAGCGGATTACTGTAGAGCACGTAGGTCACTTCGCACCTCTCCAGAATCGCCTGTGGGGTGACCCCACTTAATTGCTTGCGCTGAATGCTGACCTTGCTCGATAGCTCCAAGAAGCAAAATAAAGTAAATGAAGTAGTATTCGAGGGTTGGACTCCAGTTTCAGAGCCGATAAACTCCAGTATGAAATGAAACTTTATTAATGTTATACAAAATACTGAAGGGAGTAAAACAAAGAATGCATATTTTACCAACTATATTGCTTTATTAGTGACATATTTTGACATCTTCCTGCAAAATCTGCTCCACTTCTTCTCGAGTCGCCCCATTTTGGTAGCATTGCTCAAATCTGGAACAAGGAACGCTTATTTCTATCTGCATAATTCCCCCCCTACACTCTAGAATACTCACTTTCTTACCTCTTCTACAATTTTAGCTCTTCTTCCTTTATCTCGCTCTAGAACTCTTGCTCGGCTCCGGTCCTGTGATGGAAGATATGTTTTTGCAATAATTATTGCAAAAACATATCTTCCATTTATGGCAGCATGATCAAATTGTAATCTGCTAATAACGTTTAAGGCTTGCACGCGCTTCATAGTTGATCTTGCGAAGAGCTTCAATAAGGATGTTGGGCGGTGGATGCTCCACACATATAATTGCCTTCAACCGCCTGAAAAAGTCTGTACTGCAGATTATCACGGCAGTATAGGTCTATTACCTAAGGAAAGCCTCGGCTAAATTTGTAGTTCAAAGTTCTCCCAGCTTCCGCTTACACCACATGTCCATGAATGGTCCTTTAAATCAGGTTTCACGCAGATACTTTAGAAAGTTTTTACATCTTTGGTAGGCGCTGTGCCCACTTGGTATCGGAGGTTTTTGTGAAGCTCTCACTTCCGACATCAGTGAGGGCGGCAGAAACACAATACCTGTAAGAGGAAGTGAAGTGCTTTCTGTGATAACCATAGTTAAACATTCAGCGTTGATTGATAATATCCCACCATTGTACGATTCGTGCGTCCCTTTCCATTCCTATGTACCGTATGAGCCCAAGAGCATCCCTTCTACGATTCCAAGCTTGAACTAGGTGTGAGGCGCGGCCTTCCTTAGAGGCCTAGGGAAGTTCGAGTAGCTGTTATAGCTGCTTTTTCAAAGTCGAGAATGACCCGACGAGGGGCATTGCCTGTGGTGTTGCTCTTCAGATGACCAAATACTTCCAAGTAAACTTCCTCGGTCTTCTTCGCAGTGATGCAATACAGAAGCGGCACCTCGATTCCTTTGGAACATACATCATGCACGCAATACAACTGCGCATGATATCCCAGCGATGGGATGCAACGAGTACATCCCGTCAGCAACGATGCTGTGCAGACCGGCTTCGCGCTTTCTGTAATTTCAACAGTGAACGAATCTTTGTAACATCCTTTGGTTTTTCTCACTGGTCGCCAAAGAGTAATAGATGTGGAACCTAGGCGCTTGGTAGTCGAGGAACGTGGATCCATTGCGCAGAGTGCTGAACTCCCAAGGCACATGATCCATAGTGACAGCTCTGTTTTTCCACACGGCCAAGCTTCTGATTTCGAAAAGTAAAAGCATTTGGTAAGCAGAGCAATCTACTATGGCTAGTATACCTTAAGATAGGATGTCGTCTAGAGTGATATCCCGAGCGAAGAACCGCGGCTCTAATTGAATCTTCCATTTCTGCTGAAAGACGACAAATTCGAAGAAATGGGAAAAAGTTTGAATACCGAACGTGTTACCATCGTCTGTTTCAAACGGTGCCGCCACCATATCAAGATAAACTTTCACAGGCTTCTTCTCCGCGCAGGCAGGATCTCTTCGAATGCTTTGCAGCTCCTGAAAGTGCAGTTGTAAATAATAATCACCATTAACAGCAATTCCTGCTTTGTATACATGTCTGTTTCCAATTTCTTCGCAAAAACGCATTCGTATTCCATTCTACACGTATCGCTCAAAAATTCGTTTCCAATCAGCTGAAATGGTGTACGCTAGATAATCAGCATCCATAGGGCTTGAATCTACCTTGATAACGTCAATGCTTGTTCTCCTCGTTTTCTTCCTTCTTTCAAACAGTGGAGGCAGCCGTACTTCTCGCATTTTTTGTTCGCCCATGATCTGTAGAAAATGAACGTGTAGTACCTGGAATTCTATAAATTAGTACGCTATGTTTCCCTCTTTTTTTTACCTGTTTTTCACCAACGAATCTTCGCGCAACAGGGTGGCCTGGGTTATTGGAGGAATGTTGTACGTCCATGGTACCTGAAATGGAAGAAATTGGAAATGTGGCGTTGGAAGGACTTGAAAGCAGGTTAGGTGCGTGGAGGGAAGGTGCAGGGGTGTTATCGGGGAAAAAGGATATTGTGAAGGCAATGCAGGAGCCGGAGATGAAGGTGTAGGTTAACAAGGAGCAATAGGAGAAAGGGGTGGAAGGGCCGGAGATGAAAATGTAGGGTGACGGGGATCAATTGGAGATAGAAGTGGAGGAGCTGGAGATCAAGCTGGAAGCTGCATACCAACACAATAAGAAAGCAGTGGAGGGGTTGAAAGCGAAGGTATAGGTTGAAGGAGCAACAGGCGAAAGAGGTGGAGGAGCCGGAGATGAGGTATGTTACAAAACAAGAGGTGGTGAAAGCAGTGGAGGGGCTGGAGATGAAGGTGTAGACGACGCGTAGCAATCGGAGTAGTGGAGGAGCTGCAGATGATGGCGTTGCTTGTGGTGATGTTGAACCCACATATAGTGGAGGAGCGGCCGCATGCATGGCGTTGCAGTAGGTGCCACAGAAGGGCTCATAACCTGTGAAAAAATAGGAGAAACTGGCTTGAAAAGTGCTGGGGCCACGTAAAACGCAGGTGCAGGTTCTTGCATTGAAGTGCCCTGAATATCACCAGAACTCATGCAGGACGGAGTTGCAGAAGGTAGTGTGTTGAGCGAGTTCATCGAAAGTGGAGTAGAATCCAGGTAGAATTCTTGAGCAGGTCGTTGAGCAGCTACGATGTCCAGGGAATTGCTCATCGCATAACCTGCTAAGAGTGCCTGGGTGAAGGAATCCTGGGGAGGAGTGTTGTAGGTGAGGCTTGAGCACATGCAACACTAGAAACCACAATCTGTGCTTGTTGACGCTATTTATCACTGCTTTAAATATCTTTTGAGTGACCTTTTAATAGGATGTTAATAATAATAGGCCCGTGAGGCCAAAAAAAAGGGATTGTGTCATGAGCAAGGGCGAAAGGTCATGTCCTATGAAGTGATTTGCCTTTAGGCGAGTGATAAGATGTGTGTCCATGATGTCGTAATCTCCTTGAAGGAAATTAGTAGTGCAAAGGTCATCTGTCGGCACAAAGCAGCGACCACTGAGGAAAAAGTACCTCAGCTATAACACTTTAGAGAATTCTTTTCTCGCATTCATCTACAACGATCGCAGCAGAAAATTTCTAATAATTCTAATTGAAGCTGACTCTTGTTAAACTTATGTGCAGACACATGTGCATTTTTTGTTTTACTCCCTTCAGTTATTTGTACAACATTAATAAATTTTCATTTCATACTCAGATGTTTATCGGCTCTGAAGTCCAACCCTCAAATATTACTTTATTTACTTTATTTTGCTTGTTTTGGAGCTATCGAGCAAGGTCAGTCAGTTCAGCGCAAGCAATTAAGTGGGGTCACCCCACAGGCAATTTTGGGGAAGTGCGAAGTGACCTATCGTACGGTAATCCGCTAATTACGCTACCGTACTAGGTTCCAACTAAGTACCTCCACCCAAGTGTTCTGCCAGATGGAAACCTTATTTCTGGTAACAGATTCCAACTGTCAGAAGGAAGGGTGTATTGTCAAAGAGTAAGGTGTGTCTGACCATTCAATGATTCCTCAGTCTTATTTACGGAACCTGGACTGACATGAGCTAAATACTAGGACAGTCTGAGGAATACAGCACAAAACAATGCTTCCCACTATAGTCGGATCTGGTGCAGGCCTACTGTCTCACTACCGCCTTCCTATACCCAGGAAAACAGCATTGTAAAGACAACAAGTCATGATCTGAACTCCCTGAGCTCTGCACCCAGAAAAGAATTGTTTAGTACAACCAACATTCCAGTAAAGAATCTCGCCATGCAATCTGATCTAGTTCACAAAGTGTAGGCTTCGACTTAACACGTTGATGACAGCGTGACGCGGTAACGCGTCCCACTTTGCGCACCTCGTGGGACATTGTGACGCGGTAACGCGTCCCACCCAAGTCATCCCTTTTTCTTGCGCTTGTGCGACTTATTCCTAAGGTCTTTGTACTCATTCTATAGGTCATACATTAGCATACTTAAAAACCACATGGCTCACAGAAAGGCCAAATATTCTTTAGTTTGGCAGACGTTTTCCAGACCTTACGGATATGTCTGTTTGATTCATTCCTCGTTTTCTTTTCAATAACGTAAACATGTTGATAAAAAGGAATACCACGTCCAAATTAATTTTGGAACCACCGAAGGGAAATTAAGTAAAATTTCCCTTTTCATGGCCTTAACACGTCATTTCGGTCAAACTTCCATTACTGTAACTCCTGATAAGCTAGACAGATCGAACATCATTGAAAACATTTCATCGCATCTAAGTATTGCGTATTTACAGCTCAAAATCCATGGATTTGGTGTGCGGCGGCTGCGCTCGCAAAATCGCTCTTGTCCCACGCGGTGCAAAAGACCAAAACGCGCGATGTCGTCAACGTGTTAAACGTTGATTACCGCGCTCGTTTTCGCTGTCTGAGCGAGTGGGACCGCGCGCATTATTTTGACCGCGCGAATGTGACATGACATCATGTCACACGGTCCCACGAGAACACCTTTTTTTTCAGGAAGTGTTTATTTGTTATCTTTCTTGTGTGGTAGGTCTCGGATTTTGCGATTTTGGCCATTTCAGCAATTCCTGCGATTATGAGAGCGCGTAGAAAGGGCCAAAGCTAACGTGCGATTAAGAGAGAACCCTTTTATTAGGTACCGGATATCTTAGTGTCGTTTTTTCACCACGAGTTTCGGACCACCAATATTTTAATTCAGAATCCGGGGAGTGAAACAGCATATTCATCGAATGACTCATTAGCACTTTCCCATTTACCAGTATGAGTGGAAACCTCGTACGATTAAAGCTAGGAATTTTTTGAGTCGAAAAAGAGAGGTAGGTCGGTTTTGACATCATCTGACAAATCATCCCTCTCACTTGCTAAAAAGTTAGGCCTGGACAAAAGAAGTACACAGTTAGTTGGACTGGGATCTGTACTTCTTCTTCTTCTTCCTAGCGTTGTTGTCCAACTTTCGTCGGGTACGCTCTTTTCACCAAGGCTTTCCAGCGATCTCGATTCCATGCATCGTCTGCAGACAGGTCAGCAGCATTCATGTCGATCTTCACGTTGTCCATCCATCGTAATTTGGGTCTGCCTCTCGGGCGTGTACCAGTGAAGGTAATACTATCGGCTGATCTGGACACGGTGTCTGGAGGCCTTC